ACTAATACTTTCCCACTCATTGACGAGGGGAGGTGAGGTATATAGCAAATCTGAGTATACACAATTTTTCAACCAGTATACGGCAACGACGACTCACGGACCATGACATAACTACTACATAGTACCGCACTAACGTGCAAAATGCTGTGCCCTGGTTGCGTGAATTAACTGGAGAAGAATGTAGGTTTAGCAGGGCTTGCCATTCTCACTTCCTGGAAAAAGCATATACGTATATATACTGCGCATAGATGCTTTCATTTTTGGTGACGCGTAGTCTAGAGTGAGCCCTGCGTCTCTGTAATTCAGACAACTAGGTATAGGCTGCTTGCTCACCACTACTATATATGTAGTTGTCTTTAGTGGCTCTAATGTTCTGTTAGTGTGAATACTGTAGTGGGGACATGATGTACTCTGCTGTCACAGGTGACACTCATTATACACCACCATCAGTTGTGTGGCACTGTACATGTATATAGTAATACTTATAATTTCTCAAGAGGACGGTTCATGTATACCTTTGGCCTATGTGGAGCCAACTTCACGTTGTGCGTGTGATAGTGTGGCGTCGTCACATTTGTTAGCATCTTGTGCTACACAACCTTACACAAGGGACGTATGTGTGTGACACATTAGACACAAGTATGACACCCTAAAATAACTGTCACTCTACAACCTCTCTTCCTATTACACTGGTGCACCTAAGACACTACATTTGCCCTACTTTCCTCCCATCATCTGCCAACACAGGGAGGACTTCAAACTGATTCTAAGAGAAGTCCGTCGCAACAACAACAATACTCTATCGGGTCTCTCTCTGGACTCCATTGCCGACCAGGTCCGCTCCATCATCGAGACCAGGGAGAGAAACAAGCCCGGCGGAGCCGAGTCTGGGTCAAAGGGCAAACCATGCCCACCACTGCCTCCCGTGGCTCAGGCTCCGCCCCCTATCCACACCTCGGCGGAGTACACGGACGAGTGGTCGTGTGTGATCTGCTATGAAGACATGGACTCCAGTGACTCCAGTAGACTCATGTGTGGCCACCGGTTCCACACTGAGGTACAGTATACACCATACTAATGTATAATATACAAAGGGGGTATAATATGCGTTGCTAGATGCATTAACATACAGTGTCAGTCATACGTGTACATACATAATACTGCTTATAGTGCACCGTACTATAAGGATGCTTTGCTCAATGCAGCATCCAGTATAATAATAGCCTGTAAAAGTGTTACAGACAATGCTAGAAAATGTGTGCACTGGGATCGCCAGTCAGTCCACCCTTCTTTTTCTCCCTCTCTCTCTCAGTGTATCAAGTCCTGGTTCAAGGAGCAGAACACTTGCCCCACTTTTCGCAACTATGCTCTACTGCCAGATGAATACCCCTTCCTTAGCCATTAATTTACCATGAGACTTTGAACAATAAACACACTCATAGTATGTACTTTCATAGTATACCACTGTATGTAAGTTAATGAAGGTTTTTAGTCGCTCACATATAAGTCCAATTCAAAACCTTCTCCTTAGGATCGCCAGTTCAGTCCACCCTTCTCCCCTCTCTCTCAGTGTATCAAGTCCTGGTTCAAGGAGCAGAACACTTGCCCCACGTGTCGCAACTATGCTCTACTGCCAGATGAATACCCCTTTCTTAGCCATTAATGTTACCACGAGACTTTTGAACAATAAACACACTCATAGTATATACTTTCATAGTATACCACTGTATGTAAGTTAATGAAGGCTTTTAGTCACTGATATGAGTCCAATTCAAAACTTTATCCTTGACTTCTTGTGGGGGATTACATCCCTCCCCAGACTCCAGTATGCAGCCCCAGTCACCGAGTCGTAGAGTGGGATCTCTCCTGTAGTGAGACTGGAACTCCTCACGATAGACGTCTCCTGCTCGATGCAGTATTAGGTAGTACCACATATCCCTTTGCCCCTCTCTTCTCTGGACCAGTTGTAGGTTGGTGGAACTGTCCACTGCATTCTCCCATGTCAGGTGTTGGAATGTGGCCTTGGGACATGGAGAGTCTGGGCCTCTGCAGCAAACCAACTTTGTGCTGTCAAACCATATTGCCTTTTGATGAGTGAGTTTAATCGAACCGATTAATATTATTCCATCGCCTCGGACTCTCATTCCCTCTATGGAGTAGCAAGGCTCTGCTGCATCTTCATGTGGCTGACACGTTGCAAATACTTTGATCATTGCCCCATTCTCCCTGGCTCTGTGTCCGCATGGAGGGATGTGGAGACTGTCTAGTGTCTTTGCACACTCCCTCACCCACTGCCCCGAGTAGCTGCAGTCTGACACAATGTTAAGAACCTTTACAGAGGAAGCCCTGATGTTGAAGATCTCTTGGAAGCTGATGGTTCCATCTTTGAAACACCAGTTCCCGGTGTCTTGCTCGCTGTTGCCCAGATAGTGCAGAATAGCTGCATGATCAAAAGTGGCTTGGATATCACAAATAAAATGTGAATGAGTTCACAACATACCAGCTTGTTCCTTGCAATTCTGAAAGAATGTCTCAATCTTCTTGAGGTAGTACTGCTTCGATCTCTGCATCATTGGAACATCCACGAGTATCTGGACCACTGACAAGTTAGGACTTTTTAGTCGAGTGCTAGCAGCAGCCATTAGATCTGCAGCAACTTCTTCATGAAGACCTGGTACTATGACTGGGAGAGAACCAAACATTTTTGTGGCCTTTTTTGTCAGGGATGGATTTTTGATTCTTTTACTGGCCACCAAATCAGCTGGATACTCATCACCTACTGATACCAGGATCATGACTTCTGCTTTGTTTCCCTCAACTCCTCCCCTTTTTCTATTGTAATTCAATCCAGCAACTTTCACGTTATTTTCTCCTGTAGAACCTTTCAGCTGCTTCTCTAAGGCTCCATTCACCGTCTTCAGTTCTAGCAGTAGTTTACTCTCCAGTGTCTCCAGACCTTGCATTAGCACGAACTACAGAAGGGATACAAATGTGTATGGGCAAACTACACAAAGTTGTCCATACCTCTGTTGTTTCTTTCCTAATGTCTGACTGTTGAAGAGCCTTCTCCAGTTGAAGACGTGTCATGGAGTGGTAGACATCGTGGATGCTGGAGCTGATGCGTTGCAGTCTGTCCATGGCCTCTGAGGCTGTGGGTCTTGTCATTGGAGCAAAGTCCAGACACTGAGTGATCAGCTGGACCAGCTCGTGAGACCTGCCCAGGATCCTTCCAACACTCTCCATGTACCTGCTGCGTCGCTCCACCTCATTTCGTGGCACCAGTCGACGCGAACATGGGTCTTGGTAGGTGGAGGGTAGAAGGTCACCGGGGAACTGCTGGGTTACCGTGAAGAGGGCCAGGTGACCAAACGAGAACATGTCCAACTGTGGCCCGTACTTGGGAGGCAGTTCAAAGGCCTCTGGAGGCATGTACACTGCAGTACCAGGCACTCCTTGTGTCATGGTCCTTGCCAGCTGGCCTGGTTGCATGTCCACCATCCGCGAGTTACCCATGTCGGCTATCTTGGCCACCATTGCCGAGTTGAGCAGGATGTTTCTGGCCGTCAGATCTCTGTGGATGACGGCTGGACTGCAGCTGTGGAGGTAGACAAGCCCCCTGGCCACGTCTTGCAGGATGGAGACCTTCTTGGCGGGGGGAATGTCGGGAGTGTTCTCCAGGAGGTGGTCCAGACTTCCCTGCAGCATCTCCATGACCAGAACAGGGAGGTTGACAGTGGAGGCAGACTGGGTCTCCAGGAAACAGATGCCCAGGAACTGGACAATGTTGGGATGACGGAGACTCGACAGAAGCTGACACTCCTCGTAGTATTTCTCGATCATGCGGTCTGCTCCTTCGTTTTCAGAGTTGACTAGAACATCGAACATTCTCTTGCCGGCGCAAACGAGTCCATTGACCTTCAATTCCTCCACGCATCCGTAGGATCCCTCCCCGAGCTTCCTTCCTGTCTGAGTCACTCCAGACATGACAAATGGCTGGAGTCGAGCAGCAGTTTGTAGTGCTCTGCGAGAGTGAGAGGTTGAGAGCTGTAGTTGTCTTGCCATGTCTTGTACACACAAGTCGTAGGTGCTGATCTGAGGAACCTTTTTGGTGTGCCTGTAACAATAGTGACTTTGAGTCTTCCCTGGTTTCCAGATCAGCAAATAGCTATGCCAAAAATGTTATTTACAACTTTCTAACTAATTTGCTCGCACTCATTTATATACTCTGGAGTACTCTAATACAGCAACCCCACTGCCTGTACAATATGAAGTACACGGTGAAAGTAGCAACTATGTTTGTATATACGTGAATATTATCAGTAACTCCTGAGTTCTAATGCCCACATATCACTGTAGAGAATGAAACTGGTAGTGGTTATGGCTCGTGGCAGGCAGGCCTAGTCACATACAGTACTGGAGTGTCAGTCATACGTACGTTATACTGCTTATAGTGTTAACACCGTAAGCGGTACTGATAATGATAGAAATTGTATGCATTGGGATCGCCAGTTCAGTCCACCCTTCTTTTTCTCCCTCTCTCTCTCAGTGTATCAAGTCCTGGTTCAAGGAGCAGAACACTTGCCCCACTTGTCGCAACTATGCTCTACTGCCAGATGAATACCCCTTCCTTAGCCATTAATGTTACCATGAGACTTTTGAACAATAAACACACTCATAGTATGTACTTTCATAGTATACCACTGTATGTAAGTTAATGAAGGTTTTTAGTCGCTCACATATAAGTCCAATTCAAAACCTTCTCCTTAACTTCTTGTGGGGGATTACGTCCCTCCCCAGACTCCAGTATGTAGCCCCAGTCACTGAGTCGTAGACTGGGATCTCTCCTGTGGCGAGACTGGAACTCCTCACGATAGACGTCTCCTGCTCGATGCAGTATTAGGTAGTACCACATATCCCTTTGCCCCTCTCTTCTCTTAACCAGTTGTACGTTGGTGGACCTGTCCACTGCATTCTCCCATGTCAGGTGTTGGAATGTGGCCTTGGGACATGGAGAGTCTGGGCCTCTGCAGCAAACCAGCTTTGTGCTGTTGAACCATATTGGCTTTTGATGAGTGAGTTTCATCGAACTTAACAGTATTAATCTATCGGGTGTGACGATCACTCCCTCTGTGGAGTAGCAAGGCTCTGCTGCCTCTTGGTCTGGCTGACACATTGCAAATACTTTGACCATTGCTCCATTTTCCATGGCTCTGTGTCCGCATGGAGGGATGTGGAGACTGTCTAGTGTCCTTGCACACTCCCTCACCCACTGCCCCGAGTAGCTGCAGTCTGACATAATGTTAAGAACCTTTACAGAGGAAGCCCTGATGTTGAAGATCTCTTGGAAGCTGATGGTTCCATCTTTGAAACACCAGTTCCCTGTGGTTTTCTCACTGTTGCCAAGATAATACAGAATAGCTGCATGATCAAAAGTGGCTTGGTGTCACAAATAAAATGTGAATGAGTTCACAACATACCAGCTTGTTCCTTGCAATTCTGAAAGAATGTCTCGATCTTCTTGAGGTAGTACTGCTTCGATCTCTGCATCATTGGAACATCAACGAGTATCTGGACCACCGACAAGTTAGGACTTTTAAGTTGAGTGCTAGCAGCAGCCATCAGATCTGCAGCAGCTTCTTCATGTAGACCTGGTACTATGACTGGGAGAGAACCAAACATTTTTGTGGCCTTTTCAGCAAGAGATGGATTTTTGATTCTTTTACTGACCACCAAATCAGCTGGATACTCATCACCTACTGATACCAGGATCATGACTTCTGTTTTGTTTCCCTCAACTCCTCCCCTTTTTCTATTGTAATTCAATCCAGCAACTTTCACGTTATTTTCTCCTGTAACAACTTTCAGCTGCTTCTCTAAGGCTCCATTCACCGTCTTCAGTTCCAGCAGTAGTTTACTCTCCCGTGTCTCCAGACATTGCATTAACACAAACTACAGAAGGGATACAAATGTGTATGGGCAAACTACACCAAATTGTCCATTACCTCTGTTGAATCTTTCCTAGACTGAGCAAGAGCCTTCTCCAGTTGAAGACGTGTCATGGAGTGGTAGACATCGTGGATACTGGAGCTGATGTGTTGGAGTCTGTCCATGGCCTCTGAGGCTGTGGGTCTTGACGCTGGAGCAAAGTCCAGACACTGAGTGATCAGCTGGACCAGCTCGTGAGACCTGCCCAGCATCCTTCCAACACTCTCCATGTACCTGCTGCGTCGCTCCACCTCATTTCGTGGCACCAGTCGACGCGAACGTGGGTCTTGGTAGGTGGAGGGTAGAAGGTCTCCGGGGAACTGCTGGGTTACCGTGAAGAGGGCCAGATGACCAAACGAGAACATGTCCAACTGTGGCCCGTACTTGGGAGGCAGTTCAAAGGCCTCTGGAGGCATGTACACTGCAGTACCAGGCACTCCTTGTGTCATGGTCCTTGCCAGCTGGCCTGGTTGCATGTCCACCATCCGCGAGTTACCCATGTCGGCTATCTTGGCCACCATTGCCGAGTTGAGCAGGACGTTCCTGGCTGTCAGATCTCGGTGGATGACGGCTGGACTGCGGCTGTGCAGGTAGACAAGCCCCCTGGCCACGTCTTGCAGGATGGAGACCTTCTTGGCGGGGGGAATGTCGGGAGTGTTCTCCAGGAGGTGGTCCAGACTTCCCTGCAGCATCTCCATGACCAGAACAGGGAGGTTGACAGTGGAGGCAGACTGGGTCTCCAGGAAACAGATGCCCAGGAACTGGACAATGTTGGGATGACGGAGACTCGACAGAAGCTGACACTCCTCGTAGTATTTCTCGATCATGCGGTCGGCCCCTTCGTTTTCAGAGTTGACTAGAACATCGAACATTCTCTTACCGGCGCAAACGAGTCCATTGACCTTCAATTCCTCCACGCATCCGTAGGATCCCTCCCCGAGCTTCCTTCCTGTCTGAGTCACTCCAGACAAGACAAATGGCTGGAGTCGAGCAGCAGTTTGCAGTGCTCTGCGAGAGTGAGAGGTTGAGAGCTGTAGTTGTCTTGCCATGTCTTGTACACACAAGTCGTAGGTGCTGGCTGATCTGAGGAGCCTTTTTGGTGTGCCTTGCAACAATAGTGACTTTGAGTCTTCCCTGGTTTCCAGATCAGCAAATAGCTATGCCAACAATGTTAAGACCCTCTCATTTACAACTTTCCGCATTCCTAACTAATTTGCTACCGCTCACTCATTTACGGAGTACTCTAATACAGCACCATAGAATGCAACCCCGCTGCCTCTATATACAATATGAAGTACTATTATTATATGAAAAGCAAACACCAGAAAATCCCTCTTTTTTGTGCTTACCTGAGATGCACCATGCCTATACATTTTGAATGGACACACAGTATTTTCAAGCAAAAATACTTCAAATCAAGCAAATTTGACACATTTCTCAAGCGATGGTTCATCTGCAGGTTGGTAGGTATAATTATATGCGTATGCTGGGCCATGCGTCATCGATGGAGCCAGTAATACGAGTCTCACCGTAACACAGGGTAGTTGCATTAGCGGTTAGAGCAATAGCTCAGGTGTTTCAGAGGCTCTCATCTTTGCTTTATTCAATCTATCCGCTCTTCTGTGTTTCAATGCTCTCGCCAGACGTTTTATCACTGTAGAGAATGAAACTGGTAGTGGTTATGGCTGGTTGTGGCAGGCAGGCCTAGTCAACCACAAACTATATGCATTCCACTTCATGATTGACTTG